ACGGTAGACCGGACAGTGAGTGACTGTGCTGTGTGTGTATTTGTAGTGTGGCTTGATTGGTGACAGCAGGTGCGGGTGATCAGAACTCAGGTGACTGTGATCGGGTAATTATTCTGGATGGTGACTGAAGTGACTGCAATGAATCCCTGACAGTGTATGTATATATACAGTATATATGTATATGTGTGTGGCTGTACATACACATATGTAGTTGTTTTTTGGTGTTTGGCTTAGTGTTATGTTCATTTGTAAGTCGCTTTGGATAAAAGCGTCTAATAAATGACTAAATAAAATAAATAAATAAATAAAAATAAAAATATTTACTGTAACATGTATCAGCTCTAATTATGTTGTATACTGTAATAGACATTGAGCTGTAAAATGATACCTGACTGCCAAAAGAAGGTTTTTGCACCAGTGTTATGAATTCATCTCATTAGTGTGTAAGACTGTGTTGTTGTGTGTGTGTTTCTGAGGGCTTGTGTGTCATGTCTGAGGGCGAGGTTTGTTTTTTTCAGCAAGATTGAATAGTTTTGAGTGGAGAGCTTCATTTTGACTTGAAAATAGGAAGTATGGGGAATTGGGTGAGAAGTAGAGCCCTGCATTTCAGCCCGGGCCCGATGGGCCCCGACTTTTTTACGCCCCTACAGCCGGGCTTCGGGACAATTTTCACATCATAGTTCAGACGCGGGCCGGGCCTCAGGCCTGTTTTAGGCTTCTCCTTATTTTTATATTTTAGACATCCATCAGTGATGAAAAAAATTGCCTAGCTGGTGGAAACAACACGAGACCGTGCTACCGTGACTGTCAAGAGCGGCTCGACGGTGTTTAGTGTCCCGCCAGCAGCAGCATGTATGGTGCGTGACGTCAGCGCAGCTGAACAGTTCTGCGTTCAAATGTAAGCAATAGGCTTAAGCTTGCCGCAAAGCACCGGCAAAAGTAATTACCATAAATGTGACAGGGGGGAAATAGTAAGGCGATATCCGAGTTATTTACTAATAAACTAGTGTTTTCTGAGTCGGTGTCGCAAGGATGAAGTTGCCGATCCTGACTCGCCATCTCTTCATTGCCTTGGATCTTGCATCTTTACGGATTATGATTTTAATGAAAGAGTTTTTGTTTTTGATTTGTTTTATTTCGTTAAGTAGTAATTTAAAGCTTTCTATAGATATATTT